AATATTTGAAACCACTGTTTGCTACAAAAAGAGAGGGAGGGATAATGGTTTGTTTTTAAAAAAATGGAAGGCTATTCTAATTGACCTTTACTGCCCTGCTATGACCAACCTGGGCAGATTTCCTTCTACTTTGTGACAATATATGGAGTCTCCCTTTCTCTAGGGGTCTGCCCTAGAAGGGCCCAGAAGCCCAAAAATAGCAGGCAGAAATTTCTCTGACTTCTGGACATACCTGTGTTTAAACTTGAAATAAAATTCTTGGGATACTTACTTCTTTATCATCAGAGACCAGGCACTGTTCTTGCAAGATGCAATAGCAGAAGCAAAGAAAATATTGCTTGCTGGATAGCAGTTCATTTCTACAAGGTACCTAAGATGTTTCCAAAGGAAACACCAACTCAGCATTGATATCCTGGAAGCAGTAGTCCAAAATGTGTGTGATTGTGTTGTCAGCACAAGGATCAAGATTGGGAAGCATGGCAAGGCTCTTAATTTTGAACTGCAATTCCCCAAATCACCAACCCAGACTAGTGCGGTGGTCCAAAAAGTCTCTCTCTGTGTGTTGTTGGCATCTGTCAGTGTTACAAGGATCAAGATTGGGAAGCATGGCAAGGCTCTTTATTTTGAATTGCAGCTCCCCAAATCACCAATCCAGACTAGTCATTAGATATCCTTGGAGCGGTGGTCCAAAAATCAACTTTCCAGGCTCTGGTCTATATGGTGCAGGGATCTACTTGTAACCCTAGAGAATTGTTATCCTGCAATTTTTCTGGCCCTACTATCACCTCCTTTTCACTAAAAAAATCAGTTAAATCATGGGCCTCTATAGTTTTTGAGTACTGGTGTTGAAGCCTCAAAGAAAGAGGATTCAAAAGGTTTAAAGCAACCTGTTTGTATTCCTGTGTGTGGAACGTTGTTTGCAAGAAACTCATGATATACAACAATTCTCTGTATAAGTAAATCCTGACAGTTTATCAAAACCATTACGCATCTTTATTGTTCAAGAACAAAATAAATATCATTTGCTTGTTTTTATTTCAAAAGAAAGAAAGAAAGAAAGAAAAGAAGGAACAATTGTCTTTCTATGAGCAGGCAGAGGTTTTGGCCCAAACAAACCTTTGTATTTTAGGCTGATTAATCCCAGGTTTTCTGTTTATCCCAGATTATCTGGCAGTGTGGACTCATATAATCCAGTTTAAATAGAAAACCTGGGATTGGATCCTGGGATATGAGGCCTGTCTGAATGGCAATTTGAGCCTAAGTCTTCCTGAGTCTCAGTCCATAACTCAAACCATTACAGCATATTGGCTTATTTTAACTGCTCTGCCTTAACTTAAAAAATGCTAAATAATGCCAGTCATTGATGAATTTTACATATCATAATGTAATGAGCAAAGCAGTAAACGGTGTGCAGTGTCTTTTAATGGACAGTAGCAGAAGCTGGTCACTGAGATGTACTCATTGTCTTTGCTTGGTTGCATGAAAAATACCCAAAATTATACACAAAACAATTTCTCTTTGGGAAATGAAAATTTAAAATGCTTCCAGTCTGATAGCCAGCAGCCCCAATCTTGTGTAAATAAGAGAGAAGGCAGGAATGCATATCAGCGTCTGCATAAGCCACCCAAGAGAGAAGCCATTTGAATAATAAACATGGCTGCAGTTTTGGGTGCCAAGTGCTGTCAGACTGAAGTTATTTTGAAATCTTTGGCATGTGATATGGAATGATTCAGATTAACCTTGTCTCCACATTTCTGCACCTTCTGAAACAGTATATGCCAGCCTCTATGCGGCTACTATAAGCTTCATTATAATGATCATTGTGCAAGACAAATAGTATTGATACCTCATCAAACTACAATTTCCATGATTCTACAGCATTGAGCCATAGCAGTTAAAATACTGTGAAACTGCATTAATTCTACAGTCTAGATGCATTCTAAGTTCCTCCTGGCCACTCCTTCTGTCCATGACTTCCTGAGCTACCTTTCTGTCTATATTTCATTGGTTTTCCTATGCTATAAAGCCACAATTATACATCTTACACCTGATTTGAAAGCTATGATACTTCAAGAAGGCACATTATTTCTCCAGCTAGTCAAAGGAGAGTAAACCAAACTCCCAGGTTGGATGACATTGTAAACAAACTACATACTACAGGTCTGTGATTCATTGAGCCATATCCAAATGCAATTGATGTTCATGATGCGCTTCCACACAGCCTCATCCCTTGCCCTTACATGTGAACATGACCATCCATATATATTGCTGTAAGTCTTTCTAACAGTAGTTTTCCATCCTTTTAAATGAAATATTTGAATTTCACCTCTGGCTATGATGCCATAAGATGAGATTTATGAAATGGCCAAAACAAAATGCAAAACGACTTGAATTTCAAGTCTTTTCACATTGTTCTGGGCTTTGAACCATGATATAGTCCATGGATTTTTACAGTACCTCTGAATAGGTTAGACTTTTCAACTATTATTGCATAACGAGATACTGTACAGAAAAATCTGGATATCCCAGACATTATCCAAACTTATTTGCTCAGAAGTGTCCAATTACTAGCAGAAACAGAGTGGAGCCCCTGGCGGTGCAATGGGTTAACCCCTTGCGTTGGCAAGACTGAAGACCAACAGGTCAGAGGTTCGAATCTCGGGGAGAGCACAGATTAGCTCCCTCTGTCAGCTCCAGCTCCCCATGTGGGGACATGAGAGAAGCCTCCCACGACAATGGTAAAACGTCAAAAAACATCCGGGTGTCCCCTGGCAACATCCTTGCAGATAGACAATTTTCTCACGTCAGAAGCAACTTGCAGTCGTTCCTGACACACACAAAAAAGAAAGAAGAAAATCCAAAATGGGAATGCATGGTCCAAAAAATGTGGCTGAGAAGACTCAGGGGCCTGGACTCTATTTTTAGTAATGGCAACTGCAGACCCACTGAATCAGCCAGACTGAATCAATTGATAAGATCAAACAATTATCTATGTACGGGCTCTCCATTCAGCAATCGATTCAATGAGTTTAGTCTAACTGGGACTAACCAATAGGATGCCAACCATCATCTGAAAAAATTGAAAAAATTGATTTCCCTCATGAATGCACTGTATCTTGTATGTTAAATCTATGTTGTGGTAGACTTGCCATAGAAAAGTTGCTTTCTTTTGCAAATGTAGTTTACAACCACAATAGTTATTAGTCTTTTGTATATTATATGCCTCCACTCCAGTCAGAGAAACTAGGTCCAAACATGAAGAAAAGTCTCTTTTAGTGTGAAGGTTATATTTATGCTTCCAGGCATTTTGTTATGATCATTTCTGATCTGAAGGACTTTAGAAATTACAGTAGTACAGACCAGCATTGCACCTAAACTAACACCTTTATCTGTGGTGGCACATGTACCATGGACTGCAAACTCCCGGCTTATATCACAGCTCGAATAGAAGGGCAATAGAATAGAAGGGCAAGTGGCAATGTAATTTAACAAGCCATGACCAAAGGCAATGTTACTTTTTCAAACTATACATTCCATAGTCCTGTCTGGGGATATTCTGCAAATTTTATTTTTTCTCAAAAGTTTCTAGGTTCTGAGTACCATTCACCTTTGAAAGTCTAGACCCGGCATCACCACAGGCAATTTGGTTGTGATTGATACTTTTCCTCTGGCACTCTCCTTCTCAAGACTGGTCTTTATAAAGCACATCAATACTCTAACCATTTTTTCACATCAGCAATTTGGCAATGCTTTAAATCTGCTGAAAATTAGCCGGCCCAGGTTGTCTTCATATCTTGGTTGTGGGCTTCCTAAAGTTTTTGGTCAACCACCGCGGGAAGTAAGATTTTGGGTGATCTGCCTCCTTGGTGTCATCTAGAAAGGATTTCTTTTTAACATTGTCATGGAGAACTTGGAAAACTTACTCTTTTGGACTTGCTTGGCTGTGAGATTTTAGAAATTGTATTCCTGAAAGTAACATTCCCAAGCATGGGTATTTCCTGACCATGGTTTGTTTCCCAAGACATTCAAACTCACATTTTTTATAGTTAAACTTCATTCTCTGAGGAAACTGTTGAGACTCTCTGCAAATGGATAGTGCTATAACTAATACTACAGAGAGGCTTTACTGTTGGACAAGTTGGCAATTCTCTATAATTTTATGCTGCCTAAAAGTTTCTATTATTTCTTGTAAGAGTGATTTTTTATTCTAAATACTTCAACACACAGGCATTGGTATTCTAAATATTTCATCACACATGCATCACACGCCAGTGGCACAGTGGGTTAAACCCTTGTGCCAACAGGACTGATGACCAATAGCGATTCAAATCCAGGGAGAGTGGGTTGAGCTCCCTCTGTCAGCTCCAGCTCCCCATGCAGGGACATGAGAGAAGCCTCCCACAAGGATGGTAAAACGTCAAACATCCAAGTGTCTCCTGTACAATATCCTTGCAGACAGCCAATTCTCTCTCACCAGAAGCGACTTGCAGTTTCTCAAGTCTCTCTTGACATGAAAAAAACATGAATTCAGCATACAAACAGACAATGGCTGGAACAATTCTTTGACCTCTCGGTGACCAAGTATTTGGAGAAAAGCAACCCTTTGCTTTTATTTAGGGATGGAAATCATATTTGAAATCAAGAAGAAATCTGGGTTAATGAGAAACTTCACAGTGCAAAATTTATTCTGTGCAAAATTTACGCAAGGTTATGCTGTGTACAGTGTATGAATCTTGAACAAATTAAGTTCCCAATAGAGTATAATCTGCACTGTTTTCAAAGATTTTCTTGTAGTGGGAAGAAAATTGCTCAAATTACCCATTGCTTCCTTTGAGAAGAAAATTAGCAAAGAATGGCATCCCTATTTCTCATAAACAGTATGCTGATTGTAGCACTCTCTTTATTCCCACTGCATACACCAGTTTGCAGTCATCCTACTCTATCCATTCCATTTCCCTTAAAATGCTTTACATTGTCTTTTTCTTTTCTATTCCACCTAGGAGGAAGTTCACAATGGCACGAATCCCCTGTCTATGTTGATGGACACTTGTCATAAATGTGGAAGTTCTAGTGCAATTCAGGATTCACCATTACCTCTAAAAGTTGAGGACAATTTGGAGAAGACGCCTTATCTACTGGGAGAGGAGGAGCCCTTTGCTGCAAAAGCCTGGAGTTCTGACGGAATGGGAGATTCCTACACGGCCACTTTCCCCAATGGGAATGGACTGATGTCTCCTTCAACAAGTCCACAAGCTTCCACCACCTATGGCAATGATTACAGTCCTTTCTCCCATTCCTTTCCAGCCTCACCATCATCTCAAGACACATCATCCCTGCTGGTTTCCAAGGGGCACCCTTCCCCTGACTGCCTCCCAAGTGTCTACACCTCTTTAGACATGGCACATCCATATGGCTCCTGGTACAAGGCTGGCATCCACCCAAGCATCTCCACTAGCTCCAACAGTCCCACGGCTTCCTGGTGGGACATGCACTCCAACAGCAACTGGCTGAGCTCCCAGCCACAGTCAGATGGACTCCAAAGCTCACTGCAGTCCATGCCCAGCCAGGCTCCCATCAGTCCCCAACTGTCCAGTTATAGTTCTGAATTCACCACTTTAAACCCCGCTCCATACCCTGCAGTGGGAATTACATCCTCATCACACCTACTTCCCTCAGGCCAACATGTGCTGCCCCAAGAGATGTACAAGCCCAAGCCAGTAGTCAACAATTCCCTGATGGAAGGCGGGATTGGACTGAAGTCTGGGAGAGGCAGTTCCTTTGGAAGCACAACAGGAAGGTCAACCTGTGACTGCCCCAATTGTCAAGAGCTGGAGCGACTTGGGGCTTCAGCAGCCAGCCTGCGGAAGAAGCCCATCCACAGCTGCCACATCCCAGGCTGCGGGAAGGTCTATGGGAAGGCCTCACACCTCAAAGCTCACCTGCGATGGCACACTGGGGAACGGCCCTTTGTCTGCAACTGGCTGTTCTGTGGCAAGCGCTTCACTCGTTCAGATGAGCTGGAGCGTCATGTTCGTACCCACACCCGGGAGAAGAAGTTCACCTGCCTGCTCTGTAACAAGCGTTTCACACGCAGTGACCACCTCAGCAAGCACCAGAAGACTCACAACGAGCTAGGAGTCAGCAAGCCTCCAGAGGGGGATGCTGAACGGGAAGAGGCTACCACCATGGTGGCTGGTTCTCCTAGCGCCGGCCTGCAAGATGGGATACCTGGAGACGAAAAAGATGCCACCAGCCCAGAGCAAAGCAATCTGCTAGAAATCTAGGCTCGGTGAGATCAGCCACATTCCTTGTTAACTTCCTACTGCAGCCATTGTTGTCATCACCTGTTCTTATTGCCTCTCAGGTAAATAATTTATTTCCTGGAGAAAGCACAGGTCCAGAGGCTGTTGGCCTTTCATCTGTTTGAAATATTACTTTTATGTCCAAACTTCTACCATCCCCTCCAATCCTGGAAGGAAAATTAACTGAAATCCTTGGTAGTCTATGACTGTGTACGGAAACAAATTTAAAGCTGTCTTCTACCATTCCCTATGTCATTATATAACAAAAGGCCTTCCTTGCCTTGGTTCTCTGTATGATCTGTCAAGATAATACACAGGAAATTTCCATGGACATGCAGAGCTAGCCAACCAACAAGCTGAGCAGAACTGAAGTGGGTTTTTCTCAGGGCATGTATAGGACTCATTTTCCAACTAGTGTAACCCACTGAGGATCTAACTCTGATCACCTCTCCTGACTTCTTGTAGCAAACAGAAGAAAGAAGAAGGTGAGAGACAACCTGCTTTGAGACCCGGGTGCAGTATTTGTATCTACAGAACATGCCACGCTGCTCCAGAACTCATAAAGGAACAAGTGTGATCTCTGGTTGAGGATATGAAAAAATAGATCCTTAGTTGGAAGGGCTCCAGTATCTTTAAGGATTGTGAGGAAGGGAAAATCCTACCCAGGGATGGCATTTCAGGTATACTGCACCACTGATGCAAAAAGCCACAACTGGCCAAACCTTGCCTACTGTGAAGCTCTGACAGGCTGAGTCTCCCTTATCCAGAAATGTGCAGTATTCCAAAACCCAAAACCTTTTGCTGCCAGCTGCCCAGTCTTAACTTTGGAGAAGTGGGACTGGTTACAAATCCTGCACCCACTGGGTTTCTCTTTGGGGAGCTTTTCCTCCAGCACTGTCAGAGATTCGGGAAGAGGGAGGACTCTGTCTCCTACAGCTCTATTTAGGGAGGGGGTCCCTTTGAAAGGTAGACGTCCCAGGCAATTCCATGCCTGCCTTCCAGAACTCAGGGGGCACAGGGGGAAGATTTCCCCTCCTTTCCTGAGTACTTTGCTAAAAGGGTGGAAAGTGTGTTGACAGCTGAGGAAGTCTGAGACATCTGCATTTTATAGGTGTCTTCTATAAGTGGAAATCTGGCCCTTTCCCTCTTCTTCTTTTTCCCCCATCAGATTTCTGATATTTCTGGAGCATGTTCTGCTTGAGGAGGGAGGTCTCAGTAGGCACTGGATGTGTGACTAGCCCCCTTTCCTCCTCTCCTTCATTTCCTAAGTATATGCAGATAGGTATTCCAAAATGCAATAAAACTTCTGTTCTGAAGCATTTGGGACAATGGAGACTCAACTTGTAATATTATGGAAACCTTCTGAATGAGCCCCCTTTTCAACTCTGGGAACCCTTAGTTTGGAAAAGAGTAATCTATGCAAGTAATACAAAGCTTTGCAGTTAAAAAATCCTGTTCTGTTTAAAGTTAATCACATTAGCAGGTCTAGAAAGTAGTTTAGAGGACAGTTTTAAAAGGGGATCAGGGGGATACCCTATTGTATAGGCTTCATCCCACTGGTCACACATAGTTGGGGCTCCACCCTGCCACCAATACCTCTACTAGCCTTGCCAATCAGTGAAAGATCAGTGAGGGCTGCCCCATCTGGGTGGCCAAACAGTGGCACAATGTCATGCCAAAATGGTATATGCATTTTATAGGTTCCAGCTGTGCCTGCCCTTGTGGTGTAGTGTGCATGGTACAAGCCAAGCCGAGAGCATGGAATCAGAAGTTGCCTGCATAGATATTGCCATTTTGGGACATGACACCATATGTATGACTGTTATGTCAGTGAAATCCAAAATATACACATGCTTTTGCTGATGTTCTTTGATACACAGAGGTAAAATGACATCAAGATGTCATAACCTGGAGTGTGGGGGAGGACTGAGGCCGACTGCTCTGTAGGAGTCACTAAGAGGCCACAGGTTGTTCCATAAAGGTGCTACAAGACCCTTGGGTCCTCCTCTCCCCATGTATTTAATCTAGAAGTATATTTATGCCTTAAATTATGATGACAACTTGACAGAGGGAAGGAGGCAACTGGGTCTCCAGGAGGCCTCATTAAACGAGGCATCTATTTTCTGATCAGGGTTGTCTCTCTGTTAATTGAGGGACCTTCTCTGTGCAAAACGATATGATCTAAATTTTGCTCTGATTTCTTTTTTCTTCTTCTTTGCTTCATAAAGTGAAACAAGATGGAATATTTATAATCTTGGAATGCTTTTCTTGTAAGTTCCAGAGCAGAGTTTCTCAAACAGTGATCCTCCAGGTGAACTTCAGCTCCCACAATTCCTAACAGCTGGTGAGCTGGCTGGGATTTCTGGGAGCTGAAGTCCAAAACACCTGGAGGAGCAGAGTTTGAGAACCACTGTTCTAGAGGGTTGTTGTTTTTTAAAAAGTATAAACATGATTCATCACCAGGATCAGAAGAACTTTGTTATTATTACATTAAATTGAGGCAGGTAGTCAACTGCTTTGGGCTCAGATTTTTTGAGGAGAACGAGACATTTTGGTTTACTTTGGGAAGCTGGCCACTTGGCAAAGAGCTACCTCCTCGATAAGGGGAGTCCTTGGTACAGCCCCCTATCATTTGGGGGCATTATTTGCTTTCTCGGAGTCTGTACTCAATAGACACAAATGCTGAATTCCTTATGTTTTTCTTTGATCCATGTACTGCTCCTGTATCTCTCTGAAGGCTACTGGATGTAGGAGGATATGTTAACTTGACAAGAGGCAGCCTTTCTAATGTTTCCGCACTAAAAACGGGAAAGGACTCCTATATCTTTAGTGACTGTGTGGAAGAGGGAATTTTAGGAGATATTATTTGTGATGCAACTAGATAACAAGCATCACTTGCTGAAATTCCCCCTTCTACACAACATTGACAGAATTCTCTCCTGTTTTTACTCTGGCAACATTAACTGGCTCTCTTTGTTGCATTCTTCCCTTTTACCCAGCAATATGTGGTCACACATATTCATATTGTGGCATCGTGTTGCATATGTCCCTACTCCCCGCCTCTCATATCATTTATTGGCTGCCATAAGAAACTCGTGACATAAAGATATCACAACCTGGAAAATCTGTTTCATTTGGGACCCTATCATTAAGCAGGTATAGTTCAGTATTTGTATAAACATGTATCACGAGAAGGGCAAGCCAATGCCCTAAATGTTGCCTGCTCAAAGGAACAACTAACATGGAAATTATGTTGTTTTCAATACTTTGAATTTTGCTTGTTTTTAATTTAATTAAGAATAAAATATAAGCTATGTTTCAGAAAAAATAATAAAAGCTCTACAGAAATTGTGTTTTTTTCTATTTAAGAGGAATCACAGTTGGGTTTTAAAGTAAAGGTAAAGGTTTCCCCTGACATTAAACTATGGGAGGTGGTCTCATTTCCATTTCTAAGCTGAAGAGCCGGCGTTGTCCGTAGACACCTCCAAGATCATGTGGCCAGCATGACTGCATAGAGTGCTGTTACCTTCCCGCCAAGGCAGTACCTATAGATCTATTTATATTTGCATGTTTTCGAACTGCTAGGTTGGCAGAAGCTGGGCCTAACAGCAGGAGCTCACTCTGCTCCTCAGATTCAAACTGCCAACCTTTTGGTCAGCAAGTTCAGCAGCTCAGCGGTTTAACCTGCTGGTATTGGTATATCATAATTCATATAAAATGGTACTCCATGTTGCCTGTAATGTAGTTGCCTTTGGTCTGAGCCTTTATTGTACTCATCAACATTAGAGGTCTACTGGGCAAGTGTGATATGTATATTTATTTCTTTTTGAAATGATTTTTGACCCTAGGAGAGCTTTCCCAGGGCACCCACCATTTAAAAATTACACAGCATGAATAAATTTTGATCCAATTGGATCCAGCAACACACATTTGCTCATATGAAAGATTGAATAGTTGGGTTGCATTAGTACAGTTTAGTTATTCCTTCATCGTTTTAATTAGGCAGTCATGAGTGCTATTTTGTAAATTGAGGACACATCAACAAACACAGGGATGGAAGAGGAGGATGAGGAGGAAGAAAATGAAGGTGACAGGTACAATTAAGACAAGTTTGAAATCAACTCAGTTATATACCAAGGTACCTTTTGTAGAGGATTCTGAGACCATATTTGAAGGCATCCAACTTCTCAAGGTGACGCCATCTCATCACACTGAGACCTTGGATGCCTTCAAATATGGTCTCAGGATCCTCTACAAAAAGGAAGGATTTGCTTCTTAAAATCCTCTGTAACATGGGAGGATTCTGGACAGATACACATATAGGTATTTCTCAGATGTCAACATGGGAAATGCTTTCTGAAAGTTTTTTAAAGCTGATTATAGCACATGCAGTCCACCATATGAAGTAGCTATCAGTAGTGACATTTTAAACTACACTGTATCTAAATCGACTATTGGGAATTATATAATGTCTGATGAAAACAAGGTGGCGTGGTTTTATTATGCAAGCTATACTGGTTGGATTAATATATTCTCCACAAGGATGCAAAGGGCAGGATTATGTCCTCTTTTGTACCTTTCAGCTCTAGCCAACCTGAAGTAGCACAATTCAGAAATCATATTACTGTATCATTTCCTGTTTTCCAGACTAAGCTTCACTAGGACTCAGTGATCTCCTTTTTTGATATATCTGAAGTATTTTCTCCACTCACCATGAAGTAGGTTGCCTTTAGGTGAGTTTTCCAAATAGTTGTAAGTTTTAGCTGACAATTTGTTCTTGCTTCTAGTCCATATCACACTGCCTGAATTGCCCCTGGTCCACAAAGCTACTGAACAGAGCACTACAATACTCTGGTTGTTGCTAACCTTGACAAGGGGATGGGTGTGGTGTTGGACATTTTTAATGTGCTGGGGAAGATGGCAGCATGAAGCTTCTTAAGATAGTTTATTCATCAGTAATCAGAACAAAAAGTGAACACAGAAATAAATCCTACAGCCATCTAGAAGGCAATTCCCAAAATAAGTGTGAAAGATATTAGATTTTTTTAAAAGTCTTATCAGTCAAGACCAGCTAAAGTTCTCTAAAGTAAGGAATTCTACAGCCAAGAAAGCCAGAGAGAATGCCAATGGGAACAGGGAATAAGGGCGTGACTCCTACATCCTTCTGTCTAGAACATAATTTCCAAACTTTGGTTCTCCAGATGTTGCAGACTTCATTTCCTGCCATTCCTGACTTTTGGCCAAGCTGTTGGGACTTCTGGGAGCTAAAGTCCAACACACACACGCACCGGAGAATCAGAATTTGGGGATCATTGGTCACATTCATACTCAAGTCCTTCCCCTGATGACTTCAGAGCAATTATACATGGGAATTTTTCCTATTTCTACATAAAAAGAGTCAAGAGTCTACATAAAAAGAGTCAATAGTAGTGAGAGAATGTAAATGGGAACGTCCCATTTACAGAAATTCAAAAAAGTTCCCAAAAGTCAGCCTTCCCTTCTTAGTGCCTAGGAACCTTGTCTGAGGACCAGGGCCAGGCTGACCCCAAAGTTAAGTGTCTGTCTCATACATCTGAGTTTCAGTATCACAAAAGCACAACTATTTTATGTTATTATCCATATTATTCCATTTTTAATTCCATAAACAGGGAGAGAATAATGCCTGGTCTCCAAAGTCATAGTCCAACACTCAAACCACTACACAGCTCTCGAAGAATAGGCTTCAAACTCCTACTTGTCCATGGAAACCCACTAGATATCCCCTCTCTCCCAGCCTCAGAAGAAGGCAATGGCCAACCTCATAGAATTGTAGCATTGGAAGAGACCACTCAGTCCAATGCTTGACATACACAAACACAATTGAAGCATTCCCAACAGGTGGCCATGCAACCTCTGTTTAAAAGTGTCTTCCAAACAAGCCTTACCAAGAAAACTCTATGATCGCTTTGCCTTAGGGTCGAGATTAGAAACAACTTGAAGACACACAACTCCTCTTCATGGCAAATTGTCCCATTATAGTACAGCATAACCTATATGATCCTCTCAAATGCCACAGTGACTAGATTCCAGATCTTGCTACTGTCATACTAGGACTTAGTTTTAAGCAGATGCTGGTGTATTCAGGGCTGACAGCAACTGCCCTGGCTGCTTCGGCCTCACCTTCCCAGAAGATAAACCTAGTGGATTAGACATTGGTATTGCCTCCAAAGGTCAGTGGGAGGCCATGTGCGATTCCTCCTGTGCTCAGTTCCCATGGCAAGGGAGGAATGACGCTCTTGTAGGGCGATCACCGCAAAGACCCCAAGCTGTCGTTGGCGAAATGGTGAGGACCGAAGCTCCCAGCCCCCCGCAGGTCCCTTTGGAACAAAGGCCTTCTGTCAGCAAGCCTTTCGCAAGGACACAATAGACCTTTGTGAGCAGACAAGCTCCCATCAGAAGGAATGCCAATTACAGCTCACACCAGCCAGCCTGGACTTTAACTTCTGGAGATTCACAGTATTGTCGTTAGTGGACCCTTATGGGAACTACACACCCATCGGGCACTCTTCTTCCCAGACACTGTTTTCTCTTCATTGGGCACAAATGTTGGCGTCAGCAAGGATCCAAAAGAATTTGTTTTCCGCTTGAGATGAAATGCCACACAGGTCCCACAGCCACATTATTGAAAGTTCAGCTGGTAGGGCTCCTGGACCTTTAATGGTTGTGTAAGAAAACAAATTGCAGCAGGTATTTATTGACAATAACCCAGGTAACAAGCAATATCTATTGAAATTCCCTGTTTCACACAACCATTTAAGGCATAGAAACTATCACTAGGTTTTTGCTCTGGCAATCCTATCACCATGTAGATTCTCACCTTTACCAATGGTTTGGGATACAGTTACACTGTAGAATTAATGCAGTTCAATAGGACTAGCTGCCATGGCTCAATGCTATGGAATCCTGGGAGTTGTAGTTTTATGAGGTCTTTAGATTTCTCTGCAAAAGAGAAAGCTGGTGCTACAGTCAATGACAAATCCAAGGATTCTGTAGCATTGAGCCATGGCAGTGGAACCCCATGTGGAGCAATGGGTCGAACCCTTTTGCCGGCAGGACTGCTGACTGATAGGTCAGCAGTTTGAATCCAGGGAGAGCAGGTTGAGCTCCAGCTCCCTATGCGGGGACATGAGAGAAACCTCCCAAAAGGATGGTAAAACAACAAACATCTGGGTATCCCCTAGCCAAGGTCCTTGCAGACAACCAATTTTCTCACACTAGAAGCAACTTGCAGTTTCTCAAGTCACTACTGGCACAGAAAAAAAAAAGCCATGGCAATTAAAGTTATGAATTGCATTGATTGTAGATACACTCCCAGTCCCAGTGCCACCTTGAATAGTTTCTTCACCCTGATATGTGGTTGGTCCAGGGCTGCATTTGTCTTCTATAGCATTAGCTCTTATCCAGGCAGTGGCAAGGTGGTCAGGGGTCCATTCACACAATTCAGTTATAGTGCTATGATTCCACTGCCATGGTTCCGCCCTATAGAATTTAGAGAATAGACACTTAAGGGAGGACTTTTGGATTCCTCAGAGTGCAACTCTAATGTCTGAAATATGTCATGGGATTTCCCACCTCCAATAATTTTTTATAACATAAGAATGGGGAAGTGGATGAGGATATTTTT